TAAGGCCTTTGGGGTAGGCCTTTGGGGATATATCATGATTCATCATGTACCCTCTGGTAAACTAACATAACTATGGAAAATCACCATTTTTAATGGGAAAACTCACTATAAATGGCCATTTTCAATAGCTATGTTAAATTACTAGAGGGTATCTGTAGTTAATTGGGTTTATAAACCAACAACTGGGGGAACCACCGTGTACCATAGCTGCCATTGGGCCAATGGGGGATTACCATGGGTCATCCCCAATTTTGGGCCTATCAGATTATCAGATGGTTGTGAATCTGGGGTCCACGTTACCCTGCAACGATTTAATACCATTTAATACCCACATATTAACAACAAGAAAATCTTGTACATGGCCCCTTTTATGCCCCTTTTGCTTTCACGATTCCAAACACAATGCTTGTCATGCGCAATATGCACTTAAATGTCCAAAACTCAAAATTCAAAACACTGAAAATAAACACTCAGAATCAAATAATTTGTGCCTACTTGCATCCTAAGCGTCGCAAAAATGGTCAGCATCCATACTACCACCCAGTTGCCTGTGCATTTTTTCTGGTCTATTCCTAGCTTCTTCTCCACATTTCATCGTTTTACCACTGGTTTTCTCTGATTTTTCTCGGCATTTCCCCAGTTCCGTCCCTTTCACCGGCTCACCGGTGAATCCCGTTCACCCCGTTGCCGGTGACCCGGTGGCCTTTCACCAAGGCACTGTGTTGGGCCTCGTTCCTTGGGTCCGGATGGCATCGGTACCAGTGGCCTCGATGACGCTGAAGAAGCAGTAGAAGAAGAGCGGCGCGGTGATGGCTACGTTGGCCAAGAGGCCCAGAGATGGGAGCATCCCAAAGACCTCGCCGAAAGTAAGTCACAAAGATTTCCATGTGAAAAATCATATAATTATATATAATTATATATAAGTATATATAATTATATATGATTTGTACAAGGTATTTAGTATATATATATATATTAACTTATATTAAACTTGGTTGGATTGAAAGATTTAAACATAAACCAAGTGACATTCCCTGAACCAGCTGGGAAGCCACACTGAATCTTTATCACTTTGAAATCCACCGATTACATCGAGACTTAAAACGCAACATCTTCCGATTACAATGTGGTGCCCAGTTATAAGTTGGTTTATAAACCCATTAACTATAGATAAGTTGGCTTATAAACCCATTATATAATTTTTATAACTATAGATAAGATTGTTTACAGTAATAAACCCATTAACTATTGATAAGTTGGTTCACCCATTAACAATAGATATATCTACCATAAGTCCTCCTTATCACAGTTTTAAATCAGCCGTTGTCCGTTTCGTTCGCTCCAAGACACGGGAAAGGCCGCCGCAATGTCCTGCGTGAAGTTCTCGGAGACGTCTTCACCATAGGCAAAATAGCCCCAGAGCATGATCACCTCCTTGGAAATGTTCGGTGGAAAAGGATGGACTTCGGCCCTGATCTTGGGGCGAACTGCCAAGATCCCTGGAAATCATGAAAGAGATATTTATAATTTATAATGATAAAGATTTAGATTGGGCTTGTCAGTCTGGGGCACGTGTCCTTTCTATTTGCTGCGTTTTGAAGCTAAAACATGCAATTTGCTGCATTTTGGAGCTCGAATCTTCCACGCGCATTTTTTAATCAAGATTTTCTATAGTTATCATAGATTTTTACATGTTCACTGATTAGCCAATTATGTTCATTGATTTTTGCATGGTAATTCATTGAGTTTTTCCATGGTTCTCATTGATCTTTACACGGTTTTCACTAGTTGTTCCACAGTTATTATTGATTTTTCCATGGTTCGCAGTTTTCATTGATTGTTCCATGCTTCTCGTTGATTTTCCATGGTGTTCAGTGTTTTTTTTTCAGTCCGCACTTGGCTTTTTCGAAGTATCATTAGACCTATGATCTGCCTGCTTCATTGATGTAGGGTTAAAGCACATATTTAAGGTTTGGTTTACAGTTTATTCACCGTTGGTTTACAATGGTTTAAGATTTTCTTAGGGTTTCTTTAGGGCTGGATTAGGGTTTATTTAGGGATACACAATATGGATAAAACTCACTATAAATATGCAAATGTATAAATGAATATATGTGTGTACATATATATACATATGTTATATAACACATGTATAACATATATGCATATAACAAATATATAACACATACATATACTTAGTTGCACTTATCATAGTTAAATAGTTTGTATTCACCATATCCCTGTGTCATGCTGGATTGCAACTAGACCGGTAATCTAAATAAACCCCAATCATTAAACTACCAATCCCTTGTGCAATTCAATTCCTTCTTTCTCCAAGCCAAGCCCCAGCAGCAGCAGCAGCTGCAGCAGCAGCTCTTGCCACTGCCACCAACCAGGCAAGGCCTGGGCACTGGCAGGGATCATGACACTGGTTAGTGTTCATAAGCTTGGGTCTTGCGCATTGACCAAACATTAGCCTTTTTAGTTCCACTGCATGGCACGCCCAATGCTTTTGATGACCTGTGTCACCAACGGAACTGGCCAAGCATTGCCAGCAGCTCCCATGATTTTCTGAGGGCTGATGTTCATCTCACTGGCTAAGTCAGCGATATCCCCAGGAATCCCTTGAAGTCGCAAGCATTCCTGATGCACAAGGTTTAAGATATGAAAATAAAACCAGCGTTGGGACAAATAGTTGAAGTTGAAATAGTATTTTGCCGATATAATTGAAGTCAAATAAAAATAATGAAGGCTGCAAGAGTCCTTTGGCAGCAGCCGGCGATTGAGTTTCGTGACCCAAAAACCACCAGAAGATGCCCGTGTTTTGGTCAAAGTGGGCGTCACCAATCGTTTCGGCTTGTTCTGAAACTTCTTTGAGGCCCCAACGTCAATCAACCTGAGGGAATGCTAGTTGAGGTGTCGAAAACTAGGTTTGAAACAATCAACATTTTTCACATTGTCATTGATGAGAGAGGGTCACCACCTGGAGTTCGAACCAGTTTCAAACCAAGACACCAAATCTCCGAAGCTGGGTCACCACCTAGATTTCGAACCAGTTTCAAACCACGTCGCAACATCCGTTTGGAATGTGGGCTCAATGGTCCTTGGTGAAAAATGACCAATCCACACATTGAAATTGTGATTTTCTACTTGTTGCCCTTGCCCCAAAAAAAAACAATCAGTGGGTTTATTCATATTTACAAATTTATTGGTGCCCAAGATTCTTCCACCCCCTTTGGTCAGAAGCAACACTGATTGGAACGGCACCTGCTTTCCCATGGGAGTAGGCCATTGGAATCTGTTTCTAATCTTCTTTTTCCGGAGCGCAACTACAAATAGTCTCTTGCGAGACTGGGGAACTCCGTAGCAACTGGCATCCAGAACCTGGGCATAGATCTTGTAGAATTGGTCTCCATCAGCATGTTCTTTGACACTTTTCAGCCTGCAGCGAAAATGCATTGAAAACCAGGTTGGGAATAACACTCGGTATTATTAGTGTTGTTGACCCGTATCCTGATCCAGATGTGAACCGTTGTATTGGGGGCCTAGCTCAAAATCAAAACACTTACATTTGACCCAGATACATTTTAATCCACTTCATGAAGATCAACTTCCTCAGTTTTTTGTTCCGCACGATACCGGGAACTTGTTCTAATAGAACTGCTGTTGGCTTCTTCCGCGTGATGTAATCAAAAGTTGCCCGGTAGCACTTTGCTCGAGGATCTGCCTCAAGCATAATAAAAGGTATATAAAAACTTCATCCATAGAAATGAATACTCAAGAATTAGGGGTGGTTAAATCGATACATAATCATACGTCATCCAGTCCAGATACTGATCCCCTTTTCTTCCCTGCCATGCTCACTGGTTGGCAAGGCAAGCCAGCGCCGTAGAGATCAACCCTTGGCATTTGAGAAACTTTGCGCTTCAAGGCATCCTCAGACGGGCAGCCGGTTGAGCCACCCCCCCTTCGCAACTTAGGGCCCGCAGTGTTACATCCAGATTTCAGATACCTATCCATGGGATTTTTGAACAGTAGACATGATTCAGCACTTGACTTCAATATGATTTGCCAAGAAGGGTGTTTATTAATATAAAACCACTCCCTGAAATCTATCAGCCCGTTGCATCTGGAATTTGATTTGTTGATGTGACCAAGAATCGTCAAAAACGATCTTTGGCCGATGGATGCATATACACATCTCTCGAAGTTGGGAATCCAACTCGCTCACAAATTCCAGCTCATAGTTCAAGCCAGCTCTCCTGAAGTATGGGTTACCCATCACTAGCTCTAACTATACTTCCATCCAAGTTGAGAGATTCAGCAAGAGATACTTTAGCACTGTTGCCCCACAATTCAAATTATATACAATGCGCCCGTTTTGGGGTTTAAGTCAAGCATATGGTTTTGTCAAGTTGAACATAATGGTAGCCAAGGTTCGAGGTTGCCCAGCTAAGGCATTCCAGACCCGAAAAGTCTGAACCCAGTTTGATTGACATGATGATTGATCCAAGTAGCTTCAGGCATGAATGAATTTTCGTTGAGACCAGCGTTTGGCTGTCCATTGTACCGCCATTCTTTAGCATGACTAGGTCTATGTTGCCAGCACACCTGACCAATGCAAACCATTTTTCATCTCTGACGTTGAGACATGTGATGGTTCGCTGCAGAGTGGGATGGTGCATGTGGATGTTATCACCCGACACCTCTAAACCCACCCGTCCAAAACTCACTGAACCCGTATGGATTAGGCTCATGGCTTCCATTGTCCCGATGAGTGACCCTGGGGAATCAAACATGAAGAGCAATTGTTCAATCAATGTTCAATCATTGGAATCGAATGGTACTATTGATTTCTGACCTGTTGACTCTAATCCAAGATTGTTAGCTTTTCATCCCCTTCAACACTCCTAATCTTTCAGAAGCCGAGCTCGAAAGTCTGACATCAAAAGTGGCTACCCCAAAAGGGCTGCCCATCGACAGTGCCTATCAGGCTTGGTTCACTTGCCGCTACGCGCATTGCCTTTGGCCAACTTGCGCAGCTTCTGGGCTACGTCCTGGAACGGAGTTGTGATGACCCCTTTTTGAGGAATGTTATCCCCTGAAAAGTCGTAATTTGATGGGGGTGTGCTAGATTTATTTATCAAGTAAAAGGCGTTCCAAGTCTGACTGCTTTGTGCATTGTTGACTTGATTAAAATAACAATTTTGGGGTGGCCTAAACATGATTTCTCTCTCTTTTGGGGGGTCCACACAAAGGAAAACCACTGGCCGGGCATCTACAGAAAATAGGTAATTATCAACAAGATTTGTTTGTGAATCCTATCCCAAAGATGTATTTTTGTTTGAAGCTCCCACTCATGAGAAGAACGCCCAATGCCAAGAGGCCTTGACCTTCTCAGAAGTGTTCTTTCTTTTCTTTGGGACCGGCTTCTCCTCTTCCTCTTGCTCTTCCTCTTCGGATTCCTCATCTTGGTTTTCATCTTCGTCTTCCTCACATTCATCTTCGTCTGCAACCTCATCCTCAGGTTCTTCATGATCGTCCTCTTCGTCTTCCTCGACTTGCGCTGCCTTCTTGCTTCCTCTCTTGGGCTTTCCCTTTGCCGCAGCCTTTGCTTTGGACTTTGGCTTCTTTTTCTCTGCACTCTTGGCCTTGGGCTTTGCCTTAGCCTTTCCTTTAGCCAATGCCTTGGCCTTGGCCTTACCCTTCGCCGACGCTTTTGCCTTTGCACGAGGCTTCTTGCCTGCATCCACCACCTCTGCTTCAGCCTTCAGCCTTTCGACCTCATGCTCCTCAACATCAGAAGGGGCATCTGTCTCCTCACCATTGCTGTTGATCCACTCAGGCGTCTTGTTTCCACAGTCATCGTCACCATCTGCACCGGCTTCATCTTCATCAGCGTCGATCTCTGGATCTTCCTCTTCATTCTCTTCTTCTCCTTGCTCCTGATCATCAGCCTTTTGTGCCTTGTTCTTTCCTTTTGCTTTGCCTTTTGCCTTTGGCTTAGCCTTGGGCCGACTCAGGACAGTCAAAGAATGCCAAAGAGATTTCAACTTAACAACAGGATGCCGTCTGAATTGACTGAAACCCTATGCCAGTGTGAGCGCACTTGTAAGACTACTGAATCCAAGTGGCAGAGCTTCCCACCTTCTTTGCCTCTTTGATCAGTTTGGTGAGCTCATTAGAAAACAAAGCACTCTTGGGATTCTGCATTGCCTCAAAGGTCATAGCCTCCAACCTCTCCGTCAGAAGTTTGGCCTTAGATATACCAAGGCTCAGGTTAAAACCGATATTTGCTAAGACTAGAAGCCTTTGGAGCACAGAGACCATCCAAATGTCATAGCAACATTTTCACAGAACAATAGCCATAATTTGAATGAAGTTAATGGAACCATGGCACATGATGGTCAGTGAACACAAGGCCGATGTACGGCAGATTTCGTTGGATTGCCAGGAATGCCATGGAACCATCACCTGTTGCAGCAATTCTATTTCAAAGATGGGTGGGGTTTGGTTCTATGCTAGCAGTAGCAGCAACACTGAACAAGAGGGAAGTTACATAAACCTACCCTACTTCATGACATAGTGGCTTTGGGGTTTGAATTCAAAGTATGAAACCAAAAAACAACTTGATGTTCGGTGGAGGCCAGTGGGATTAAAATCGAAAGAATGCATGGGGTCATATGAGATTGCATGCCTGGGGTCATATCGTTGATGGCACCCACTGAGTAGCAGTGGATGATCTCCTCATCCAAGGCTGGTGGGCCCGCATGGTAGAATGCTGGCTCCAGAGCACCTTCAGCACGGCGTCCTGGAGAACTGGCAGGCATGTTTGTGAGACTATTTTTGATCAAAATCATCATCACAATCAACATCATCACAATCATCAACAACATCATCATCTCCATCATCATCATCACCACCATCACCATCAATATCAGCATCATCAAAGTCATAATCATGATCACTTGGTTGATTGACGTTTAGCCAAGCTTTGTTTATTAATATTCTTGTTTAAATATAAAGGGAGTACCAAGTTACATATAAGGTGGGGATAACAGCAGAAAACCTCGGAATTTGAACGTGAGAAACCATCTCCTGACTCAGCTTCGCTACCCTCTGGGGCCTGCCCTCCGACAGAAACACGGTGTTTCCCAAACAACTGCTTCTTCTGCCCAAACGTGAGCTGCCATGTAGTGTCACTATCATAGGATGGCAACTTCACTCCATAGATGGTGTCACCACGGTTGGTCCCGCTGTAGTTCAACCTGGTAATCAACAAGGGAAAATTGATAAGAATCACATGCACTGATGTTCAAAGGATTCACAGGTAGCATTTCGTGTCACAACCCAATAATCCTTTGTGAGCTGGTTAATTTGCATGGTCATTACCATTGCATTGCTATGAAACTTAAAGCCAAACTTGAATTAGGACTAGGACCAGCCTGTTCTTTTTCAGGATCTTCAGTCCATTGGGCGGCATGAGCATGTGGATTGTCTCGCTTTGCTTGACAGCAAAGTTCTGTTTCCTCTCACGCCTCCCAAGGTTCAGCATCTGAAGGAGGAAAAACATGGTGATCAAATTGCAACGTACGGACCCCCGGCCTGTCCATGATGGACTGTTCATCATACACGATGAGCAACTGCTTTTCACATCGCTGGACAGAAGATTCACCCTTCTTGAGGGTAGTGAACTGGGATTTGTTTCCTGAATGGTTAAACACAAGAATCTTTAAACACTTTTTGAACAACACATGACACATCCCAGCATGAACCCAATCACTGTCCTTGACGGCCAGCATCATTGACCATGATGATGTCTGATGGCGCAAAGGTAGGTGCTCCATCACAATTGTCTTCGAAGCGGACCCTCCTAAGTCTTAGTGGAATGAATAAACAAACTTGTGTTAGCTTAACACGTAATTATATAATTTTCACCACCCCACATGACGTGTGAAAACATGTTATCTCAATGAGTTCAGATAAGACACGCAACTGCACCCAAGAGCTTCATCAAGCGACCGTCCTGAGCAGAGGAAATGAATTCAATCTCAGGGGGGTCTCATTAATTCATGGATATTGTTTCCCTGATTTTGGTCAAACAACATTTTCCTGTATCCTGCAAAGGTCTGAAGCCTCTTACTTAAAACAAAAGGTGGGTTTGAATTAAACTTTATGAGTTGAACCATGTGAAACCAAGATTCTTTCATTGGCGGTTGACGCACTTTGGGCTGACTGCCAGCTTCCGAACACTTCTTGCTGTCAAAGAAATGGAGCAGTGTTGCCGTGCAGTGAGGCTCTTCACCTGGATGGAGACTACGCCTGAGCGGATGCTGGCAGGGATCCCCAGCAACAATTGGATTCAAAACGGCTGGGTTTACATATGAGGTAAGGCGCCACTCACCATGGTAGTCCTTGGCCCAGGTATCAGAATACAAATCCACCAGATCATTTTCATTTGTTGGTTGCGGTTCGACGATCCATTTGATGCAGGTTGCCACCTCATCCAGGGACAATCATAACCATGATTTTGTCAAATTGGTTGTCAGGATAAATTATAATATGTCTTCTGACTCTAGCTTTAAACATAGGCCCGTGGCTTTAAATTAACATGTGTTTTTTGAAATTATCATGATGTGCTTGTGGGGTAAAACATTATTTTGACAATTCCTAACCTTTCTTTGAGCCAATTTTTTGAAACTCAGCAGGCGCTCATTGAGCTTGCTCATCAGGGACACTTCGGCATCCTTTTTGAACGGCAAGTCAGGTTTGTCAGTCTCACCGATCTTCATGTGTTGAAGCACCGTCTTGACTGGATCAACCTCCTCCTCCTCATCCTCTTGGTTGTCCTCAGTCATGACAACTGCATCCTCCGCCTTGTGCTTGTTCAGTTGGACATTTTTCTCCTTGGCTTCCTGCTGGATCATCTCCTTGATCGCACTGACTTCTTCGTTCAACCGGGGTGAAGACTCAAGGTACTCATTGCTAGATCTGCGGTTTTTCACCAACGCCACCAGGCAGCTCCAGTATTCCAAGTCATAGACACAGCCCTCGGAATCTTATGGTTGAACATCAGTCAGGATTCGATCAAGAAGAGTTCAAACGTTTTTTGAGAAATTTTGGATTATAAATAAGCAACAGGCATATTCTATAATATAAACAATAAAATTCTTATAAAGATTGCAAAGCAAGCATGTTTAGACAAGCAAGATACTTTGACTAGCTGCCAGAAACGTTCTGCAGATTCAGGCCATCCTGCCCGCCACGTCTCATCTCCAGCCGAGAGTTTCCTCCAGACTTCTCAGGAAAACCATATCATATTTGAAGGGCAATGGATGTTAATATGTGCCATTATGGGTTCTGTTGGAAATCGACCAACAAAAATCTTCAAACAACTGTTGGCACAAATAATCGAACCCAAGATTCGCCCGGATGGTGTTGTGGCTGGCCGTCACCTCCTTGATCGACTGCCGCACTGCCACAGGCCAAGAAGTTGCATCACTCTCCATGAAGTTGATGAAAAGATCAAGGCACGCCTTTTGGGCAAGTAGTACACGGCATGTGAGCGACTGCAAGTTCCTGTTGGAAGTCGCATCCTTGTTGACGTACCCATGCATGACTCCATCGTACCTTTCATGGGCCAGGACCAGAGGAGAAAAAAGTCCAGTAATATTTAACCCTGGAATTGTAACACCAGAAGCATGTTGAATATCCTATTGAACAAGTGTTATATTATAGCATTAATCACATCCCCATAACATGAGGTGCCCTTTTTCACCCTTAAAGTAAACCTTTTTAACCAAAAAAAAGCACCTGTGACATATCCATATGTGTTGATCATAGATTTTGGTAGAAAATGATGAGATGATATGCCTTACCCATAATGAATGAAACCAAGGCACAGGGCGAAAAACACCCATTTGATCCCTTCTGGATTCCGTCCTTGCTGAATCAAGATCTGAAACTTCGACCACCGATCAAACGGGTTTTTACGTTGTTCATCAGCTCCCAGCAACAAGGCACTGAGCTCCGTGTCTTTCAAGACCTCACTGCCGAATAGTTCAATCTAAAAAACTTGCTTGTCCATACCCAATTTTCACCTAACCAAATCAAAACCCCAGGCTTTTGAAAGCATCATTTTGATCAGCTTTAGTTCTGGAAAACCACCCTATGACAATTTCGGACAGGGTACTCGATTTCCCATCGTGCAGGCTGTGTCGACAAAGGACGGGGATACCTGAGCGATGTGGTGACGTTGGTTGTTATTCGTTTTGGGGGGGCCACAGTAATTCCTTGCAAAACAAGTCATGGTGCATTCTTATTCTTGTTGACTGAGGCTAAAAAACAATGTTCGATTACCTTCTATTTTACAGTCAAAAGAAACAAAGTCTATATTCAAACCAAACTGCTGCATCCTCTGGGTTGGCCCATGTCACTTTGTCTTCATACAGTTTGGAGAGAGCCTCACTCTTGATGGTACCGTGTTTTGCCTCCCATTCACACTTGAACCCCAAGATGTTGAATATCTGCTGAAGAGGCGAATGCTTGAGCGCAATTCCGTGCAATTCGAAGTTCCTTGCTGTTGCTTTGATTTGAATTCAACATAACTGAAATTGTGCGGACTAAGATTGGGTTCAAATGGTCTGAACTTGTTTAAGACTATGTGTAATTTATTGAATCCCCAAATGAAAAGCCATAGAGTCATGCCGAAATTAATATACCCGAGGATCTGTCGCTCTTGGCATGCAAGCATGTGCAGCCTTAGGTAGCAACAGTGCAAAGTTTCAATACATTGCCATCAACAAAAAATATAAATCACATGACCATCATGATGATCAAATCAGGTCAACAACATCACCATGCAAGTTGCTGACTAGTAACTCGCTAATGGGCACATCATCCAATCTGTACTCAAAGGACACGCTGAGGAATTGCCTGTCGAACCATAAACATGGTGTTGTTGTACTTTACTGGAACCACTGAGAACATGCGGGTGTATTGATGAAGCATGACATGAGTGACCAGCATGTATAATGATAAGCTGATGAATTACTCTTGTCTCTTGTTGGTGTACTCCACCTTGCCTTTTCCACTCGTCCATCAGCTCCGGCTTGTTGATGTCTCTGTGGGCTGCAAAAACAAATGCTAAGTCCATCTCAACGGGGCTGAACATCTTGACCTTGCAGAACGCAGGATCTTCTGCTGGGTCAGCCTTGACAACCTGATCATAGCCCATGTCCTGAAGTGAGAGGTGCAGGGGGATGAGTTTAAGGGTGTTGCCCAACTAAATTCCAAGACATTTCAACTTGAGTGGCAAAACGATAATGCTTTGTTAGCCAAGTTTCCTTGGGCACATGAACTTGGAGTAGGGTTGGGTATGCTGCAGGTTTCGCAAAGTGGTGACTGACGATCATGTCCACCACAGAGCTTCGGATTGGAGTCTCAGAAAAGCATTGAAATAAAGTTGACAGGTTTTGAGGATTTGGACAGCACAAGAAGACGGTTCAAAGCCCCCCCAAAGCAGAAAACACATAGAACAATGTAGCTTTTGACTTACTCAAAGTGCTTTCCTTCTGTTTTTCTGGGCTCTAAAATCTCCCAGTCAACCAACTTGGCAATATTGCGTTGTAAGAACTTGTTTCTGCAGAAGCACAGTGAATGCAACCGAGGAACTCCGGAAGTTGGGCTCCAAAACAAATTATGACGGAACCAGTTTTGGCCACATCGGTACACCTTCTTCCCAGTCTCCGTGCTGTTCATCACCGATGTATAGTGAGAACTGTTGAATGGGGCCTGGAGATTCAATGGTTTTTTCTTGCAAAAAAAAACGTGTTTTTTTCCTTGTAAAGGATGGAGGCCCCCATGTTGTTCAAAGTTGGTGAGTTAGTTGATGGAAACGATTCAATTCAATTTCATTGAAATGAATGGGTGGTTGGCTCCAAACCCTTTTTCTGACCATGTGATGTTTTGTTAAACGGAAGTCAGGAATCACAAACGAACCATCTATTTGAAACCCCATCCGTACCCTGCCTCTTTTCCACCATCCTTGACCAGCAGCGGGTCCTCCATCGTCACATCGGGCCACAAGTCATGGAGATCATTCACATGTTTTCTGAAGACGTGCAGCCTTAGGTTTGATGCAGCTCAATCAAGTTGCATCGCCGTTGTCACGGCTAATGAAATGTCGAGATGGGTGATGGATCATCAAAACCGAAAACACCATTGGTGGGGAATAAACATCAACTTGCTGAATATTTGGGGTTTAACCCATCATTACCCATCATATGTCGTGGGATCGAACCAAAATTTGCCATAGCTTTATCGCTTTGTTGAAACCTGCCTCCCAATTAGGCCAAGACACAGTTCAGCATTGAACTCACATCCACTGGCTGGCATATCGCTACCACTAGCCTGGCTTTCGGCCACGGAAGGCGCTTTGGATTTGCTCTTTCTGGGAGCCATGGCGCGGTGCCCAGCACAACAGGCACTGAGCTTGACCAGGTCAGCCCCTGGGTGATCCTTCAAAATCACGTGGCAGTGGAGGAAGCTGTGCGATGATATAATAAACCCATTGGGCTGTAATCATTGAAGTTATCAACTACATTGGTTTTGTTTTAGTTTGATGTTTTATTAAAGTTTTCCCGATGGCTTGCCCCCCCTAACGAACTCCCCCAAAGAAAACAGCCACAAGGAAAATTACAATTCATTGATATCATAGATATTATAAATCTTAAATGACATTACCTGCATTTAAGATAGTTTGTGATCTAAGAAGCTGCGAAAGCTGCAGGCTCTTAGATCACTCACTACCGGTAGCGATTGATCTAAGAAGGGGTTCTGTTTCATTGATCCACCTTTGATCTTGCGTTCTTCGCACCAACACCCCAGCGAAAACACAAGATCACCCTAGGCCCAACGATCTCAAAACCATCCTTAGATCACTCACTACCGGTAGCGAGTGATCTAAGAGCCTGCAGCTTTCGCAGCTTCTTAGATCATTAACTATCTTAAATGCATTTAACTGGAAACACAGAAAATACAGAAATGTGTTGAATTCTCCCATTCAAACCCTAGTGAACGAACAAAGGAAGTAAGTCAAGTTGACCAGATACATCCGGGTCCAAATCCACAAACTCAGTGCCAATAGCGAGTGATCTAAGGAAGGAAAGTTTGGTGGTTTCCCCAATTCACTACTGCTAGCGAGTGATCTAAGGAACTAAAATTTTTGGGCAAATCCATCCAAATTCCCAAACTCACTACCGCTAGCGAGTGATCTAAGGAACTAAAATTTTGGGCAAATCCATCCAAATCCCCAAACTCACTACCGCTAGCGAGTGATCTAAGGAACTAAAATTTTGGGCAAATCCATCCAAATCCCCAAACTCACTACCGCTAGCGAGTGATCTAAGGAACTAAAATGTTGGGCAAATCCATCCAAATCCCCAAACTCACTACCGCTAGCGAGTGATCTAAGGAACTAAAATTTTGGGCAAATCCATCCAAATCCCCAAACTCACTACCGCTAGCGAGTGATCTAAGGAACTAAAATTTTGGGTTGGCAATCCATGCAAATCCCCAACCTCAATACCGTCTAGCGAGTGATCTAAGGACTAAAATTTTGGCATGAATCTCATCCAAATGCCCCAACCTTCAGACACTACGGCTAGCGTGTGATCTAAGACAACTAAAAATTTGGGGCATTATACCGCCGATCCAATCCCTAAACTCAGTCTACCGCTATCGATTTGTTCTAAGGTAACTAATAATTTTGGGCAAATCCATCCAATCCCCAAATCTCACTACGCGGGTTCTTTATAGTTTTTTTTGTTTTTCTAGCGAGTGATCTAAGGAACTAAAATTTTGGGCAAATCCATCCAAATCCCCAAACTCACTACCGCTAGCGAGTGATATGCTAAGGAACTAAAATTTTGGGGCAAATCCGATCCGTGCTTGACTCCCTATAACTCACTACGTGCTAGCGAGTGATCTAAGGAACTAAAATTTTGGGCAACTCCATCCAAATCCCCAAACTCACTACCGCTAGCGAGTGATCTAAGGAACTAAAATTTTGGGCAACTCCATCCAAATCCCCAAACTCACTACCGCTAGCGAGTGATCTAAGGAACTAAAATTTTGGGCAACTCCATCCAAATCCCCAAACTCACTACCGCTAGCGAGTGATCTAAGGAACTAAAATTTTGGGCAACTCCATCCAAATCCCCAAACTCACTACCGCTAGCGAGTGATCTAAGGAACTAAAATTTTGGGCAAATCCATCCAAATCCCCAAACTCACTACCGCTAGCGAGTGATCTAAGGAACTAAAATTTTGGGCAAATCCATCCAAATCCCCAAACTCACTACCGCTAGCGAGTGATCTAAGGAACTAAAATTTTGGGCAAATCCAAATCCCCAAACTCACTACCGCTAGCGAGTGATCTAAGGAACTAAAATTTTGGGCAAATCCATCCAAATCCCCAAACTCACTACCGCTAGCGAGTGATCTAAGGAACTAAAATTTTGGGCAAACCCATCCAAATCCCCAAACTCACTACCGCTAGCAAGTGATCTAAGGAACTAAAATTTTGGGCAAATCCATCCAAATCCCCAAACTCACTACCGCTAGCGAGTGATCTAAGGAACTAAAATGTTGGGCAAATCCATCCAAATCCTCGGTTGGCATTAACTCACTAGGCCGCTAGCGATTGATCTACAAGGAATCTAAAATATTGTTTGTGGGCAAATCCATCCAAATCCCCAAACTCACTACCGCTAGCGAGTGATCTAAGGAACTAAAATTTTGGGCAAACCCATCCAAATCCCCAAACTCACTACCGCTAGCGAGCGATCTAAGGAACTAAAATTTTGGGCAAATCCATCCAAATCCCCTAACTCACTACCGCTAGCAAGTGATCTAAGGAACTAAAATTTTGGGCAAATCCATCCAAATCCCCAAACTCACTACCGCTAGCGAGTGATCTAAGGAACTAAAATTTTGGGCAAATCCATCCAAATCCCCAAACTCACTACCGCTAGCGAGTGATCTAAGGAACTAAAATTTTGGGCAAATCCATCCAAATCCCCAAACTCACTACCGCTAGCGAGTGATCTAAGGAAGTCAAATTTGATAGTTTCCCCAATTCACTACCGCTAGCGAGTGATCTAAGGAACAAAAAAATTGAGCAAACCCATCCAAATTCCCAAACTCACTACCGCTAGCGGGAATGATCTAAGGCAAATGCTTGTTGAACACACTTAGCCTTTGTTGTGGTGGCAACATGACAATGAAACACTATTTTTTCTGATTCTGCAACCCCCCAGATCAGAGTCCAATCGCCATTTGATTGATGGCTTTATTGTCATCATCAGGTCAGTGGTTGAACCACACTAAAGAGCTAATTAAATCAAACATTGCAAACGCCACGCCAAGTGCGAGCGGTGTCAATTTGCTTCAGCTTCGAAATCACGGTGTTTGCCTTGAGCATCACCATCTTGAGGGATCGTAAGTGAACCACCTAAGGAATAAGGAATCTGAATGCTAATAAATCAAATATATACTATTTTCCAACATTGAACATGGTTCAGGATGCTGATGGTGTCAAACTGTGGCATTTGATAATTGCAGCCTGAGGAGCCTCATCTGACTCACTGTCATCAGTAATGAAGCATAGGAATCGCCCAGGTGGGTAGGAAGCACTCTTGGCCTCAGAAAGGCCGTGATGACATGATCATATAGGACCGTAATGGACAACAGTCAGTACTGAAACCATTTAACTGGCTGACTTCCAAAAAGCATCCCTTGGTTTCCATGATTCAGTAATGAATAATCATTAGTAAGGGTGATATTTTCTTCATGGGGGAAGAAAGGATACTTTCTGACATTCTGACAGTGGAACATTGGATAACAATGAGTCCCAGACAATAACTTCATCGTAGCTCAAAAGCTTCCAGCGACGAGGTGTGGGTTGGGCCCCAATTGCACTTTCAATTACCTTGGTGATTCCTTGGAAAGCGTCCTTGAAATCTTGGGACATGAAGATCCATTTTGGCTGGTCTAGGGGAGACTTGAATGCAATTCTGGTACCCGGGGCTAGCATGGGTCCACCTGTAATGCAATTTGAACTCACCAAGCACCCACCACGAAGCACCATGGCTAATTCGTTGCGTACACCAGGCTTTACCATGTTGTCAATGACGATGAAATCTGCAATGGAACGGTCCCGTGTGATCTTGCCGGAGAGATGGTTAACAATGTTGGTCTTGATGTCCCTGTCGTGGGTATCCTCTGCAAAGAAAACCTTGCCCTCGGTGATGGTCTGTTTGGGCCCTTGGTTCAACTTGTTTCAATAATGCTGTGCAGCATGGGGAGACATCAAAACCCCAGGCTGTGACTTTGCCAAGATGCTGATCAATGCTTCTCTGCCTCACCGAGGCTGGATGCGGGGATGGTTTTGGGTAAGTTACCAACACAATTTCCGGCTGTTGATGATGATGATGCACATTGTGACACAAAGACTAGGCATCAAACGTTTTGAC